GGGCCCCCACCGCCCCCGGCCCTGACGCCGCCCCCCTCCCCCAGCTGTCTGAGGAGGCCGCGCTGGGCCCCGCGGTGCAGCCCCTGCGCTGGCAGCACGAGGACCGCGACGTGGCGGCCGGCACGCTCTGCGACGTGGCCGGCTGGGGCGTGGTGAGCCACACCGGCCGGCGGCCCGACCGCCTGCAGCACTTGCTCCTGCCGGTGATCGACCGCGCCACCTGCAACCTGCGCACCTACCACGACGGCACCATCACCGAGCGCATGATGTGCGCGGAAAGCAACCGCAGAGACACCTGCAAGGTGCGCGGGCGGGGCGGGGCGGGGCGTGCGGGAGGAGGGCGGGGCCAGGAGAGGGGCGGGGCCGAGAGAAGGGCGGAGCTGAGAAGGGGCGGGTCCGAGCCAGGGGTGGGGCACACAGGGTGTGCAGCGGGGCACGCGGGAGGGCGAGGCCAGAAGGCGTTGGGGTTGGCAGGGGCAGGATGTGAAGGAGGACAGAGCCAACAGAGGGGGCGGGGCCAAGAGGGGCGGGGCCAGGAGTGGTGGGGCACTGAGAGGGCGGGGCTGGTGAGGAACAGCGCATGCGTAGGGCGGGGCCAACAGAAGGGGCATGGCAACAGAAAAGGGCGGGGCCAACAGAGGGGGCGGAGCCAGCGAGGAGCGGGACATGCGGAGGGCGGGGCTAGCAGATGGGTGGGTTATGCGGGTCTAGATGAGTGGGCGTGGCCTCAGGAAGATGAGGGGCTGAGATGGGGGGGTCACTGACAGGGACAGGCCCAGGGACGGGCTGGCCTGAGGTCAGGCAGGGCTGGGAGGAGAGGTGCCATACAGAAGAGGGTGCAGATGAGGTGCAGGGCCCGAGCCTGGAGAGGGTCAGGAGTGGCGCAAGGTAAGAGGAGCGGGTTGACGCCGAGACAGGACAGGCCTGGGACAGAGGGTGGGGCGGGCCCGGGAGGCGGGGCTTGGTGGGCGGGGCCTGGGGAGATTGACGAGCCAGGAAGCAGATTGGGGCTGGAGGGAGGAGCGGAATTGCAGTGGCAGCGGAACCGGAGCGGGACCTGCAGGCCACGGGGCCTGCGGGGCCCTGCGCCCACCCTGACGGCCCTCCCCTCACTGCCCCCCCACGCAGGGCGACTCCGGGGGCCCGCTGGTGTGCGGGGGCGTGGTCGAGGGCATCGTCACCTCGGGCTCGCGCATCTGCGGCAACCCCAAAAAGCCCGGCATCTACACGCGCGTGGCGAGCTACGCGGCCTGGATCGAAGGCGTGATGGCCGGGGACGCGGCAGCCTGAAGGGGACCCGAGGGGCGGCGGCCACGGGCCGAGCAATAAAATCTTGTAGTCCTGCATCCGGTCAGCCTTCATTGAGCACGCTGCACGCGGAGCACCGCGGAGCCGCGCCAGACCCGGGGGGCGGGAATCCGAAAAGGAAAGCGCGTGCGCCGGTAGTGCGCTGCCGGGAAGTGACCGGGGGCGGAGGGGCCTGGGGACAGAAGCCCGGAGACCCGACGCCCTCCCCGAGCTGAAGCTGCGGGCGTTCCCCAAGCCGCGGCCACACGGTGGCGCCCTGACTCTTCCCTGGAGGTTGCAGAGGCGACCCGAGGCCCAGGGAGGGGCCCGTGGGGTGGGGGGGTGTCCCTTCTTGGCCCGGCCGATGTTCAGCTCTCCTTTCGCTTCCCAAGCGGAACGTGAGGGCCTACTGTGTGCAAGACCCCGCTCTGGGCTAAGATTTAAGGACACAGCGACACTCTGGAGTTGGGTTCTTAGAACCCGTGTCCAAATGGGGAAACAGGCTCAGAGAGGCCGTGTGACTCTCCTGAGGTCCAGAGCCACGGCGCTTGCGTTGAGGCCATCTCTAGGGGCTGCGAGCTCGACAGAATGAGGAAGGTTGACGGGTGTCCCCCAGCAGCCACACTGATGGAGGGGTCCGCGTGCCTCACTGCCCTCCTAGGTCTCAGTTTACCCTTCTGGGCAACAGCAGGGAGGTGGCAGAGGGCAGAAGCCAGACCCCAAGGCCCTGTGCCCTTTCTCCCACCTGGACGGGGGACCCCGCGGAGGTTCAGCACCTACCGGGCTCCAGGTCTTAAGCCTAGTCCACAAAGGGGGCTCATGACCCCCTCTCGTGGAAAAAGAGACTGAGGGTCTGCAAGGTGAAGGCATGAGCCCCACTGGGGACTGAGAAGTTGGAATTGGAACCGGCGGGGGTTTGTGTTTCTACTACGGAGCGTCCTCCTTGGAGTCCTTCATATGTAAGCACAGGTCGAGCACCTCCCGTGTGCCTGGCTCTGGCCGGGCGCGTGGAGAGCAATACCCCGCCTCACCCGCAGGAGCTCGGTCAGACAGACCGCAGCACGGGCACACCTCACGCAGGCGTCCTGACGACAGGCTTGGCATGCTCATGAACTGTGTGTGTAGTTCAAGGTGTCGTGCACATTTAAGATGGGGTAGGGCACAGGATTGCTGGGTGTCCAGCGTCAAAGGTCGTTCACTCCACAGGTATTTCCGGAATGGAAGGCCGCCAGGGGCGGCTCTGAAGGGATCCAGGCTTGGGGGGGCACGCCAGTGGATGACCAGACATAGCAAATGAAAACACCGGATGTCCAATGAGGCGGGAACTGCAGCAACACCAACCCTGTGTATAACGCCCCCTGTGACACTGGGACAGATTCAGTCCACTGTCATCCGAGACTCAGATCCGCCCGGCACCCGCGTTTCACCCCCGACCCTGGGGGGCCCAGACTCAAGGCTGAGGGCACGGCGGCGGCCTGGTGAGGTGGGTGGAGGGGGAGGGTCCGGGGGTTTGCCCAACAGAACCAGGGCAAGGACTTCGGGCACAGGCCGGGGGAGGGCTGGTAATGGCGTTCGCCCTGAGGGGGACTCAGCAGCTCTTGAATGAGAGCCCTTTGGCCCTGCAGGGCCTCTTCCAGCAACTTCCCCGCAGACAGACAGGTTCTCCATGTTAGTAAGTCGTCAGCCTGCTACTGGGCGGGGACAGTGGGGTGACCCCGAGCCACGGGGAGGGGCAGGAATGCCTGACGTGTGCAGGGAGGGTGGGTCCTGCGCTGTGGCCCTGGATGGCAGACTGGACCCCACTCGCTGAGGAGAAGTCAGGGGCTGCCCCCAGGCACAGCTCCCTGCTTCTACTCCCGGAGGACGGGGCCTGGGGCTGGGGCAGTGGGTGGACGTGGGGGTCCACGGCTGACCCGCCTCCTCTGACTCTACGACCCGCTGGGCATTTTCACCCCCATCGTGTGGTCACTGGGAGCCACGGAAGGTTCTGGAGGAGATGGTTTAGGAGGAGGAGGTGGGGAATGAGTGGCGGGAGGCGAGAGGCCGGGGAGCGTCGTGGCACTAAACCCAGGGTGTGCGCCCGCGTCTTCTGAGTCTGAGACGCTGTGGCCTTGGTTCCCTCATCTGACACGGGGCCAGCGTCTCTGGCTCTAAAGAGATGGGGAATTCAACAGAACGCTTCCTCGTGTGACAATAACACTGCTGTTGTCGACCCCAGAGGTGGGAACTGTGGGGACACACGGGTGTCAGGACGCCCCTGGTGGGGGACAGGACGGGGACAACGGAACATCACGATCCACAAACCCCCCCTCACCCCACAGAACATTCCAGCAGGGCCCCCTGCCTCGGCCCACCCCCATCCTGCCCCGGGTGAGCCGGATGCTTCCGGACAGCCAGGCACGTTTGGTCCCATCGGGCTCCTGTCCTCCCAGCAACTCACAGAACCTTCTGGTCGTCTACTGCTGCGCAACAGACCAGCCCAAAGCAAGCGACACGGAGCCACCGTCCGCCCGTCGATGGTACTCAGACCTCAGGGCACGCTGGGTGACTCGTCCCCGCTCTGCCATGTCTGGGTGCCCAAACCGTGGGGCTGGAGTCACCCGGGGGCGTCTCACTCACGCCGGTGCCTGGGCTCAGAGACGAGGACCATGGTGGCCTCCCCGCGGGGCGGGGGCGAGGCGGCCTCCTCCCACCCGCGGAAGTCACACGCGCCACTCGCGCTGCACAGGCTGGGTGGACACAGGCCGGGCCCCCATCGGGGGGCACGCACCCCTCCTCTCGATGGGGGTCAGGACTCCGCGGCCGTGTTGTGAAACCGCCAAATTTAACCGTGACCCGAGAAACCGGAATGCGGGGAGACAGGCTCACGTCTCTGAGGCGACTCCCTGTTAGAGACCCGGGGTGACGGGAGGAAGGCAGGCACTGGGAACCGGTCAGACGAGCAACGGGAGGCCGGGCTTCGGCGGAGGCAGGGGTGGGAAGGACCCCGAAACCGGCCTCCAGGGGGAAGCCCTGTCCCCACCCCCGGCACTGCCCGGAGCCTGCAGGTCACACGGACGGTCCCCTCCCCTGGCGCACCATGGCTCCGGCCGCCGGGCAGCGACCGCTGGCCCGGGGAGGCTGCGCTCGGGCCCCCTCTCCCTCCCTGCTGGCGCAGAAGCTCTGAGTCCCCGCGGGAAGCCCGGCTCGGACAGCAGGACACGGACGCCCGAGCCCTGCGGCCGCAGTGGGCAGGCTGTCACCCCTGGCCTCCCAGGCACTCGGCCCCCGCCACCCGTGAAGGCCCCCGAGCCAGTGCAGTCAGGCCGCACAGCATTGACCTCCCACAGGCGCCCGCCGGCCGCCCTCCCAGAGTCTTCCAGAAGGAAAACAAGAACCAATTACTGCTTCACAGGAGGCGCAAGTCTGGAGGCCACGGGGGGGGGGGGGGGGGGGCAGACGGAGGCAGAGCCGCGGGGGACAGGTGCACGGACAGAAACCCAATGTCCACAGGCTGGCAGGGTGGCGGGGAGCAGCCCACCAGGCCCAGCCGCTGCTCCCCGCAGGGCCCCATGCATGGCATACACTAGGCGCTCAATAAATGCTGACAGAGCAAGAGAGCAACACACGGGCACAGAGACCAGATCCACGTGATGGGGGGGAGGTGAGGGACCACACGGAGCGGGCTGCAGGGTGGGACCCGGATACCGACAGGACGCCCACCACCCAGCGGGACGTTTATGGGGCCTGCCCTGCACGGCGTCCACAGGCCCAGGAGACACAGCCCCAGTGGGCGTCACCAGCAGCGCCCGCCGGACGCCCGACAGGTTCACACGGAATGTATTAAAGGACGGGCGCCCGGCCGTCCTGGAGCCCGGCATCCAGAGGGGCCCCGGGCGCCGGGGACCCGGGAGGGTGGCCGTGGCCGTAGCCCTGCCTGAGCTGAGACCTGGGGCCGGCCGCTCTGTCTCGGTCACCACCTGGCACGGCCGGCGCGCAGTGGGCCCCCTGCGGGATCTGCCATTAGGGGGAGTGCGGCGCCCGCTGGGCCGAGGGGGCACCAGCGTGAGGCTTCAGCTGTGTCGGCCCTGCCCCTCGGAGGACGGGGCGCTGACGAGGCCCCGAAAGCCGCACTGCGAGGACGGCTGTGTTGACGCACCCGACGAAGGCCTGGGTGTGCGGGATGACCTGTCCCCAGCGCGGGGACAGCGCGGCCTTCCTGTGAAGCCAACCGGGACTCCGTTACAGGGCCCAGGGCTGCTCAGGGGTAGCTGAGGGGCATCCGCCGCCAGAGCCCCCCGCACAGGCAGTTCTTGATCCAGCGCTGTTCCCACTGCTTCACAGCTGTCGTCTTGTTGGGCGACTTCAGCATGGTGACGCAGCCGCACCTGCGGGCAGACCCGGGCACGGGGCGCTTGGTGGGGCCGCTCCCACCTGCCACGGGGCCTTTGCACATGCTGTCTCCCCACCAAGAATGCTGTTCCCTACACGGCCCCCCACGTGAAGCTGACTCCTCTACATCCATCCCGGCTCAGTGCCGCCCCCTCACCTCCCTGAGTGGACAGAGGAGGGGCTGGGGTCCCCGTCCCAGCTTGGCCACTCCCCAGCGGGAGCCAGCACCCACATCTGGGGGTGTTTGGCAGCAATCTGGCCACGTCTGCAAAGTGCCAGCACAGGGCCTGGCTGCACACCGCGTGGCGGCTCCCTGACCTCTGCGGAGCGCCCGAGGGCAGGCGAGGGCTGCGCCTGGCACCGCTCACCGTGGACGCCCAGGACGGGACGTGCGGGACCCCCCGGGGCAGCCCTGGCTCTGCAGAGACCGCCTGGAGCTCCCACGAGGGAGGCGCGTTCACGGGGGGCATCAGGCCCGCGGGGGGTGGAGCGGGAGTGTTTGCCGCAGGCGGAGGGGTCCGCGGGCTCACCTGGTGCAGGCCTTGCACTCCTCCGTCGGGTAGGCGCCCAGGTGCAGCCTCCGCAGGTGGTCGATCTTGGGCTGGCCTGGCGCCCTGCGCACGAGGGGAGAGCACAAGAGGCTCAGGGGTCCACACATGTACACGCGTGCGCGCACACACACGTGTGCACACTCACATACCAGAGGAGACGGCTCGTCACACTCGCACTCAACACATTTGAAAGTTCCCCAGAGAGTTCACAGCCTCCTCTTTTCACGTTTCCCTGAAACCCACACACGACCGAGGCCCTCGGTGGTTCTCCCCACCGGAGACAGGACAGAAAACACCAGAAGGTCCCAGTGCCCACCGCTCAGACCAGTGTCCCGGGAGGCGGGGCCCCACAGACGTCCACTTTCTTCCCTGGCTCGTCTGTTTTCTGAAATCTCAACCCAAATTCACAGGGGATTCGTGCGTTTCTCCATCAGATGAGACCTGAGCTGGGGGGGAGCCCGACGCAGCCTGGGTTTAGCTCCCGGCCCAGCCTCTTCCTGCCAGGAACCGAGGTCGGCTCACTCATCTGTAACATGGGGACGCGACCCCCCCAATGGTGCTGCGGGGCACTAAGGGCGAGGCGGTGGGTTTGGACCGTCCAGACCCCGCACACTCCACAGAAAGGTCTCCCTGACTGCACTGGGGGTCACCTCTGAGCCCTAGGAACAGGGTGCTCGTGAGAGTGTCCTGTTCACCTGGGGCCTCGGACCACACCAGCTGGTCTGTGCCACAGAGTGACTCACAGAGGTCAAGAATCAGCTTGACCTCTGGGGGAGCCACAGCCCCAGTAACCAAGGTCAGCCATGTGGGCACGCCACGCCAGTGACAGAGCAGAGGGAAGATGACATTACACAGATCACCAAGTGCACCAACCAGGAAAGACGGAGGTGGCTGGATGGAGGGAAGCGAAAGGGTGCTGGGAGACAGGGGGTCCAAGGGCTCAGTGAGGGGAGTCCTGGGGCAGTGCTCAGGTCAAGCCCAGAAAGGAATAGCAGGCACAGCACGTGCAAAGGCCCTGAGGCAGAGGCATGAAGGGGGGAGTCAGGTAGGCTTTGGGAGAACCTTCCAGAAGGCACGGCCACAAAGGCCCCGAGGCCACGCCGGGCACGCACCTGACGAGGCCGTCCAGCTGCAGGGTGGTGGCACTGCCAGGCAGAGCGGGTGCCTTGCCAAAATGCAGGCGCAGGGGCTGCTTGGGCTGCAGGCGGCTGACGAGGCCGTCGCTGACGGGCAGCCAGTCCAGGCTGGGGATGAGCAGCTGGCTGGGCAGCAGGCAGCACTCGTCGACCAGCGCCTCGTCTGGCTCGCTCGTGGGGCCCTCATCGCGGCCTGTAGGAGGGGACCACGGACGTCGCGCTCGGCCCTGCCCAGAGGCCCTGCGGCCTCCCTGGGGCCCTCAAAGACCGGGTTCGGGCCCAGCTCTGCCCGGACCTCCTGGGCAGCCCTGGGACGCTCCTTCCCCCTCTCTGGCCTCTGTCTCCCCCTCTGTAAGGGGACCCGCTTATTCATTTAACAAGCACGCAGTGAGAACCAGGTACCCTCCCCCGCATCAGGGGTGCAAGAATGACAGAACCTGACCCCAGAAATATATAACCTAGTGACACACGACAAGCCAACAGGAGGCTAATAATGGCTGATGTCTCATGAACACCACACCAAGCTTGGACCTGTGCTGGGTGCTGGGGAAACAGCAGGGACCAAGTCAGAGCTGGTGCAACCTGTGTGAGCTCATATTCTGGTGGGGGGCGCTCAGCCAGTGCTTGTATTTTGGTGGGGGGAATGGAGCAGAGAGCTGGGTGTCTTACAGCAGATCCAGAGCTTGGTGAGCAGGCGGAAGAGCAGGGACATGCTGTCCTGGGTGTCTGAGGTGGCTGTGTACACAGGCAGGCAGCTGGGCTTCAGCAGGCCCCAGATGCGGATGACGACCATCAGCTCACGCAGCATGCCCAACGAGGTGCCATCCCGTAGGAAGCTGTGGCCTGGTCGCAGCGGGGAGCCCTGTGGGGAGAGGCAGTCATACTGGGTGCTTAAGCGTGTGCAGCATCCTAAAACCTCAGGAGGTCCTGGGAGGTTGGAGGGGCGGGGCCAGGGAGGGGGGTATCAGGAGGGGCGTGGCCAAGAAGGCGGGGCTTCGGGGCCAGGGAGGGGCGGGGCTTTGGGGTGGGGCTTGGGAGGCGTGGCTGCAGGGGCGAGGCTGTGGAGCCAGGGCCGGGAGGTGGGGCTTCAGGGAGGCGTGGCTTCAGGTGGGGCAGGGCCGGGGCCTCAGAGGCGGGGCTCAGGGAGGGCAGCCCGGCGCACCTGGTTGGGCAGGCTGGCCAGCAGGTAGAGCACGAAG